TTCGCTATCCTTGAGCTTCAACAGCCTCTCGTAGAGCATGACGAACATGCGGAAGAAGCAGTAGATTGAAGCGTTGGAGTACATGTTGTACTCTACACGCTGGTAGGGCTCTTCGTGTTCGAACTCTCTGTCGCCGAAAGGCGTGGGAGCATCGGTATATTCTACCCATTGCCTCTCTGGCCGATCTGCGCGAGGATTGGAGTTTGAGCTGTCACCCGCAGCTTCCTCATCCATAGCAGATGCATCCGGAGTACTGTCCCGACTTGCCGACGCAACACTGTCTTCCTTGTCCTTCCGTGATTTGTTGTTGGGGTCGAGAACATTGCGACGGAGGTCCCCCTTCTTCATTTTCTGTGAGCGTTGGGAAACATCATCGTCCGGAGAGGGCGTGTCCTCGCCAGAATCGTTTGGCGTATCGCGCGGTGAGGTCTGTACCCGCTGCTCGAACTTGGCGGAATCGATACCAAAGAATAGAGGAACAAACTCTTTGATGAAAGGCACAACCTTTGCAAAGTCTGCACTGTTGTTGTTGTCCGCAAATGTGAGCATCAATCGAGCCACGTCGAAGAGTACCTCTTCATCTCGGAAGGAAAAGGCAAACTGGTAGTCCGGCTGCGATATCTCTTGGATCTGCTGGAGGCGCTTCTGCTCTTCGTATCTGACCTGGATCTCGTTCGTGAGGGACTTAGGCTGGAACTGTCGCTTGTCGGCCTGCTTGACGGTAATGCTCTGGTGATCCAGCGACTTCCAGAAGATCTTTTGGGTCTGATCGCGCCAGACCTTTTCCCATTCACGCTGAGCGGCCTTCCAATCCTCGAGTTTGGTCTTCAAGCGGTGGAGGAGTACAGGGACGACGCTCCAGGGCATTTGGAACAGTTCCTTAATAACGTCCTTTCCCCTGTCACGGCCATAGATCTTCATAATGACACGTTTGTAGATCGTCTCACTCTGTCCACCAAGTCCAGGTGGCAATGTGAATCCCTGCCTGTCCTCTGGCTTCATTGTGAGCAGCTGGTTGGCGATAGGCTCCAACTGCTGGATCGTGCGACTGCAGGCCTCGATATTAAAGTCATAGTCGTGGCGCTCTTCCTCGATTCTGTGCAAGCCCTCCTCGAAAGTGTTCTTGCGATGGGCAACGAAACCAGAATCCTCGGAGGCCCAGGTCGGGTGAGATGCCCACTCGTCGTTCAGAACAGATCTGCAGAGCTCGTCGCGTCCACTACACACGCGTTCTCGTTCGCGCCTTGGGAGTAAGCGATAGCTAGGACCAAGACTGCGGCAGTTCGATAATGAGACACGCGAGTTGACAGTCTTAGGGCGGTACTTTTGCTGCTCTTCGTCCTCGCCCATGAACTTCTTGAACCAAGCATAGAGTTCCTGGTTTCCGCCGATGAAGGATCCGGCGCGAGACAGTAGTAACTGCTTGTCGATCAAGTCTTGCGAGTAGAGGTTACAGAGCTTCAAGAACTCGTTCATCGTGTTCTTGTTTCCAATGAACTTCTTGACGCGGTCAAAGAAAGCAAGCTCGTCCTGGCTGGGTGTTGTGGTGGTCGTCGGTGGCATTGGCTCAGGCAGCGCAGGAGTGAGGGTAGGTGATACTGGCGGGCCATCGGGAATTGCCTGCTTTGCGCCATGTCCGGTCTTTGCGCGCTTCAACATGTTAGTTGATGGTCTTTTGTGGTCCTCTATTGCATTCGAAAGAAGGCCCATTTTCATCTCTGGTGGGAAGAGAGCTAAAAAGAACCCCACCATCAAACATAGTGATGACAGTCTTGATGACAATGCTTGTGATTTGGTGGTGTTGAAACGGAAATAGAATATGACCAAAGAAAAGAATTGAAAGGGTTGGGGCAGAGAGCCATGGAGATGCACGTGCCTCTATAAAGAAAAACAACGTGACCTAACCCTGCCCGTTATAGTGTAGAATCATGTACGTACCTTGTTGACATTGCCCTGGTTGTATCCACCCCGAACGTTCGAGGTTGGCATTTCTTGTGACATGGGTGCGGGCATCGGCGCAGCCACAGGTCCTTGTCGCTCGCGCTTCCTCTTGTTGTCGCGGTTCGCTGTAGGTGTAGGTGCGAAGTTGCCCATCGGAGGCAATCGAGATGTATCGGCGCGTCCGGGCGTTTGTTGGTTTGCAGCGGCTCCGTATCCTGATTCACCTCGAACATTGCTGAGCATGACTGCGTCTTCAGCCGCGTTCTTGGCGGCCTGCTGTTGCGCTCTGTGTTGAGCAGCGGACTCCGGAAGGAACTGCTTGAAATCCTCCAGGAGATCTGGCGCGCCACCAAATAGGTGAGTGACTTGGGCGTATACGTCCTGAATGGGCTTCGACTCTCTCTGGTACGTCTGTAGTATCTCCAGGAAGTTTTTGTAAATGTCTGGGTGAGCTGCGAATCGGTTCTAGGGTACTATTAGCATTTTGGTTTTCAACCTCACAGTGAAGAATGGTACCTTGATCTTGTTCACGTAGCTAATCGCATGGTTGAACTCTACCGGTCCTCTCTTCTCTGCTGCAGCTCCGCCCATCTGTGGAAGCTGAGCAGCACCGTTCATTGCCTGTCCTTGTAACGAGGCACCTTGATCAACGCTGGGGGACATCATTGAGCGGCCAGTAGCAGCAGATACTGCGTTTTGTAACTGCGAAACGCCTCTCTGCTCTTGCTGGTGAGCTAGCGCTGCAGCTCCAGCAGGGTCAGGATGAGGACGCGATGTGACCTCTGGCGAGTGAGGCGCTGGGCCCTGCTGTCCTTGGGGACCGTACAATGGCCCTCCGAGAGTACGGTTGTTGGGTGAAAACATCGATTCTTGTCCCTCAGGACCTTGAGCTCTCTGTTGTTGAGGCCATGGGCGTCCTTGGGCAGTCTCGTAGTATGTGCTCTCGTGTTGCGGGCCGTTGTTGCCATTGACAGCACCGCTGCGTGGCGGTGAAAGCGGCCTTGGAGCGGGCATAGTCGATACCATGGTTCCCATGGGCGTGGTGACTCTGATAGCATTTGGGTCGCCGTTGGTGCCACACTCGATCTTGTAGCCGGGTGGCAGAAAAGTGTTGAAACCTTGGATCAAGGCCGGATTGCCCGCAAACAGTGTCGATACCCTCTCGATGACGCCTGGGGTGTCGATAGCACCGCTCTTGAAATCCTTCATGATGTCGAGAAACCGGTTGTACACGTCGGGGTGGTCGGCGAACTGGACCTTGACCTGGTCGAGATAGCTCAGGGCGTCGTTGAGGATGGGCTGCTGTCCCTGGCCCATAGCCATGGATCCTGGAGGGCCAGCAAAAGGCATCAACATCTGGGCCTGGGTAGGTGCCTGTACGGCGTGTTGCATGCGCGGTGTAGTCTGCTCATGCTGTGCGGGCGCATTTCCATACATGGGGCCTGAGTTGGGGCCACCCATGGGTGGCGCAAGTGGGTTTGGCCCGTTCATGGGTCCAGATTGGCCGAGCAGACCGTTGGGACCGTGGATGGTTCGCGTTGATGGTGCGACTGCCACTGGCTGGTGTATTTGGATCGGCCCTGAGTGGTTCTGGTGCGCGGCGTGCTCGCGCTGCTGTCGCTCGTGCAGGTCGCGGTCCCGCTGCTCTGCCTCGCGCTTGACGATGTCTTCTTGCTGGTGCATAGCATGCGACTCCATCTCTCTGTCTCTGTTTTCGCGATCGCGCATCTCGCGCTCTCTGTCGGCGTTGGCTTGCTCCGAAGTCGGCATGTGCTGCTGCTGCTGTTGTTGTAGGGTTTGCGAGATGCCCGGCAACGAGTACGGAGGGGCTTGCGGGCCTTGGTGAGCTTGCGCGCCCGCGTCGGACGATGGCGGTCGCTGGGCGGACATGTGGGGCGACGAGTGCTGAGGTTGCGCCGTCAGGCCGGGAAGTGTGGGGAGGTTCTGGTTGTGGGCTGTCGCGGCGTTTGACGAGTAGTAGCCGCCACCTGTGACGGGGTTAGCAATGCGAACAGGCGCGTCGTCCGCCTGTGCTACGTACCAGATGGTGGAGGGAGTACTGGGCCCGGACCCTGGGCGGGTGACGCATGTGAGGAACCCTGGGGCGTCGCGCTGTTTGGCCTGTCATCGGTCTCGAAGTCAGCGTGAATCCAATCGAAGGGTGGTGAGAAAAGGAGCTCGCAGGCGTCTTCGCTCATGGTGCCCGTCTGCTGTGGGCAGTGAGTGGGAGGCGAGTACGCACCCATAGGGACCCAGAGGCCGTGGCGCCTGGCCTTGACCCTGCTCTGTTTGCTGCTGGCCCTGCCCAGCTGCCGCTGCTTGTGCAGGCGGCCACCCGTCGCGATGCGCTGGATTCATGTCCTCGGCTTTACCAGGCGTGCCGGCGATAAGGCAGCTTGCGTAGCCGGTTCGGTAGTCGCGTTGTCGTGTATTGAGCGGATTAGCCTCTGCTGGAGCTCATGGGAGGCTTGTTCCTGCGAGAGGGGTCTGTTGGGCGTGGTGTGGCTCGTAACTGGAACTCGGTCGCCCGCTGTTGATCAGGAGCAAAAGCGCGGCTGGAGCTGGCACGGGGGCCCAAGTCGCGCGATTCCGGCGTCGACAGAAGATGGGACGGCGGTCGAGATGTATGCGACAGGCTCGAACGAGTCAAAAAGAACAATAGCGAAAGGGCAGGCTGGTGATGATGCTTCCGCTATCGACACAGGTTCTCGTCAGGGACCACAGATCGGTACAACTGTCGGCCCGCGAGGCGGTGGCAGAAAATCAATCAGCGCGTCATCTAGCCGAGCCACTCGGCCGTCAGCCTTATCTGAGATGCCGCATGCCGAAGCCACTTTCACCTTCGTTGGGTTATGGTATATTTTTACGCAAACCTGTACCAATTTCTCACGCGTCGGTTCAAGATTGAAGCACGAAGATATGTATTCACTGCGTATGACTTCGGTGGGAAGCCAATTCAATCGCACTCGCCCATCCCCACCGCAAACGCCTCAAAACAACCAACATAAGAAGACTCGTGATTCTCGTTGTCCATTTCCGTACCGTCCGCTCAATCCTTATTAGAAGATCCACTGGAAACTCTCAGTAACCTCAAAGCCGACTCTTGACCTGGACGTCTCATTAGTAATCTCGCTTAATGGATCAACCAAGTGGCGGACTTACCTGATATCAGCGCTGCTAGCACCAATCAACACCTCAAACGCGCCCTCCTCTGCAATCCAGGCACCTGTCTGACCAAGACTTGTGTCGAAGTATCCCACGGAGTACTTGTCCAGTGTCAACACTACATCCTTCGTCTCACCAGGCTGCAAGAAGACTTTGCCGAAAGCCTGGAGTTCCTTCTCGGGGCGAGGAAGCGTCGATTTGACGTCTTTGACGTATGCTTGCACAATTTCGTGCGCCGCAAATGAACCCGTGTTTGTGACTGGCACGGTGATGGTAATCTTCCCATCCTCGGAGAGTACCGTGCTGCTAGCACTCGGTGTTCCGTATTCGAAGGTGGTGTATGTGAGACCGTGACCGAACGCAAACAGCGGTGCAATCTTTGAGCGCTCATAATGCCTGTAGCCCACGTAGATGCCCTCGCCGTACACGGTCTTCAGGTTCTCGCCAGGCCAGTTGTGGTACGCTGGGTTGTCTTCGATCCGGACAGGGAAAGTTGTTGGTAATTTCCCACTGGGACTGCTGTTTCCGAGCAGCACATCAGCAAGCGCATTTCCTGCTTCCTGGCCTTGGTACCATGCTTGGAGAATAGCTGGTGCTTTCTGTACCCACGGCATGGTGATCGGTGTTCCAGATTGGTTGACGATGACGGTGCGTGGGTTGGCGGCTAGAACAGCTTCGATCAGACGATCCTGCGAGCCGTTCTTCGGAAGATCCATCGTTTGCCTGTCGTATCCTTCCGACTCCCATTCGGCGTCCAGTCCGACCACCACCACAGCCACATCTGCATCACGTGCAGCATCCGCCGCTTCTTGTAGACGATCGATCTTGTCCTCTTCTTGGTAGCCGATTCGGCAGCCACCGTAGTCGTGACGACGGCCTATGACAGAAACCTTGGACGCGGGCCGCACTTCGTTGGTGCTCTCAATCAGTATCTCCACAGGTTTGCCCTCTTCGAGATGAATCGACTTGAGTACGTCTTCTGAAGCAGAGAACATAGCCTCACCCTCCTGTATCCAGTCCCAGTTGTCGATGAAAATGTCGCCGTTGATGTACATGCGCCCTGGCCCGACGGACGCAAAGCTGAAGCTGTGGTTTCCGGTTGTCTTCGGTGTGAGTGTGGTCTTGACTTTGAAGGAGAAGTCTGGAAGCAGTTCCATTGGCGCCGAATCCCACAGCCATAGATCTGTGCTGACCTTGTGTTGAACGACCGCCGGCTCACCCTTGAACCTGTCGCCCTTGTAGTATTCTAACCGAACACCGGTCTCACCATTGGACTGGCAGTATGGTGAAGCAAGCGGTAGCCATTTCGAGCTATCGCAGCCTTGGGCAAATGTAATCTCGCCGTCGAATCGATTTTGGAGACCTTGCCAAGGTGTGACGTTGTAGTAAGGGTTTAGGCCTGCGCTCCCTCCTCCACTGGCAATGGCTCGCTTGACGTTTGGCCCAATCATAGCAATCTTCTTCACGTTCTTGATGGGGAGTACGTTCTTCTCGTTCTTCAGGAGCGTCAATCCTTCGATACCAGCCTGGAGAATCAGGTTCCGCGTCTCCACGTTGTCGATCGACTGCTCCGGCTCCTCTGGTGTCATGTTGTTCAGTCCCTTGACACGATCGACAAGATAGAGTACTCTGGCGGCGGATTCTTCAATATCGCCACGGGTTAGCTCACCCTTCTCCAGACATTCCTTCACTTGGTCGATCTTGCGCCATTTGGACGGCCCGGGCATCTCAACATCAACACCAGCTTTTATTGATGGTGCAGTTGCATATGTGCCCGTCCAGTCGGAAATAATCGCTCCGTTCCACTTCCACTCGCCTCGAAGAATCTCCTTGATCGAGTGCTCATACTCATCCGCGTGAATGCCATTGATCATGTTGTAAGCGCTCATGAGCGCCCAGGGGGATGCATCTCGAACAGCTATCTCGAAGGGCTTCAGATAGATCTCACGCAATGGCCGTTCAGCAATGATAGCATCGTACGCTTGCCGCTCAGTTTCTTGCTCGTTCCCGAGAAAGTGTTTGATCGTAGCTGCAACACCCTTGCTCTGAAGACCGCGAACATACGATGCAGCAAGCTTTCCAGTAAGGAAAGGATCTTCCGAATACGACTCAAAGTTGCGACCACCAAGAGGCGACCGGTGCATGCACACGGTAGGCGCAAGCAACACGTGGGCGCCACGAGCCTTTGCTTCCTCTCCGAGGTGACGACCGATCTCCTCAATCATGTCCAAGTTCCACGTGGAAGCCATGGATATGCCGCATGGGAATAAAGCGGCCTAGCTTCGTCAGCGTAAGACAAGCAGTGCCAAGCCGGAGTACGTACAGGTGTGCCGTTAGTGAAGAACTCTCCGCGAGCGCCATTGGGTCCATCTGATGTCTTGATTGACGGTATGCCCTTTTCGGGTATGGCTACAGTCCGCCAAAAGTCCGCTCCTGCAAGTAGTGAGATCTGGAATGGTCAGCCCGGCTCCGCTCAAGGCTGCTTCGGCTTTCGAATAGATTAACGAGGTCAGGTGGGATTCTAAGCGATCAGAAAAGCCATTCATTTTGATTACCGACTTTCGAGAACCAATCCTTCTAGACCTTCTGCTCCAAAAGACGGGCTGAGATAAGGGATTGTGGCTGGGGAATGACTCGTATCCCTACCAGAAATACGTGTAGGATAGAAGTTGACACCCCCTACTGCCTCAAACATTCGACATGGCCGTATCGAACGCCGAAATTTGAGATATATGCCACAGAAGTAAAGGCGAACATACCTGTTCCTCTAGAGTCAGCTTCGCCGCGAGTTCCCTCGCCTTGTCGTCCGGCCGCTCCATGGAGAATATCTTCTTGCCCGCCATTGTTTCGTCTGCCGGAGAAGCCTCCTCAGGAGTCGCAGCAGGCGTCAACGTAGGAGTAACGAGAGTGACTGGTTGGATGTGGATAGCCGCGTGTTTTATGTCGTGCTGTTTGATATCTTCCGTCGGACTAGCGTTTCCAAGGTTGATTGTAGCCATTGCAGATCAACCAGAATTAATCATTCGATAAATCCGGAGCGTTCGAGCGAATTGCCGCGCCTTCTTGCCACTGCAACCGGTGCGGTAACGAGCGAGGGGTTGAACGACGATGCGAACGAGAGAGGGAGGACAAGCTGAAGAATTAGCAGATTCAAAGGCAGTCAATCGAAGTAGATTGTCATCCTTTAGTACTTGCGCAGCGCTGGATGCGACTGTCTCTTGACGCATGGACCCAGGGAAAACGCTCGAGTACCGGATCTATTGGAAACAAGCCTTGTCCTAGTCACGGCTCGCAGGCACGTCGTCTCAGATCTACAAGGTAAGTATTATTGGTCGGTGGGGGCAATCAACCGAAGTTAACGCGCCCGTCTCGATCTGTCGCCAGGAGGGAGGCTCATGTGTGATCTCAATCTAGATCCGTTGCAACGGCTTCTTGTGGCGAAATCCGAGAGTAACGCGAAGGGTACGATAGCAATCTTTGATCCCCACCTCGTTGCAGCTTTCTGAGCAAGTAAGAACCAGACATCCCGCGCAAGTAGGTTGAAGGAGCAGGTGACACGTAGACTAGACATGCAAGTCTACGCCGCGCAGCGAGACATTCGTCTCTCGAGGTAAGCAGCGTGGAACTTGATTCGTCGCCTACTCTTTGTTGGACAGCTGTGATGGCGGACCTGAACCTCCGAAGCTAGTCTAAAAGGCAGTTGAGCAGCTTCCGAAGCGCACATTAGGCAGTCAAAGGATGATACAGCGCGGTTGCATACCAATCAGTGGTGGGAAATCTCGCAATGAGGTTGTAGCGGCCCGAGAGGCGGGTATGTTAGCGGGAACCCGGGCCAGTGAACCGTCTGCATCCTGGCTTGCATATCACGCTGACGAAGTCTCCGCCTGGGCCAAGCGAGCGTTGATTGTGGTTCATCGAAACCATCGGACGTTGGAAGCAGTGACCAGACCAGAAAGTCGGAATGGAAACATCTGAGCGTCGTCTGTTCTTGCCCCGCCAATGCCGCACGTGCACGATGTCGCGGTTGGATCTCAGACACACGAAGATCATTGCGAAGTCTGGCTATCTTCACCGAATTTTCATCTGCGAATCCGTATTTCAATGAGGATGCGAATCTATCACGACACTACTGTCCAGGCCGGCTACTAGCTCGTGCATCAACTCGTAGCCCTATATCCCCACGCTGTTGAGCACCTGACACGAGCAAATTGATCGGAGTATCGTCGGAGGAATAGCAAATGAAGAGGTACTATGGTACTTGATTGCGACCGCACCGTAGTCATTCAGCAACCAAGTGTTGGTACCAGCAAGTCTATCGTTGAGATGCACTGTTTCCTGTTGTGCTGGTGTTGGAAAGGCACTGCGGCAAGTGACTTCGGGAGTCACTTCCGCGCCGCTTATCCTGCCCAGGTGCTTTCTCAGCAGGCGAAGCAGCGCTCAACCTCCATGTCCCCGGAATAGCATGTGAACACATTCTGCGTATCATCAGGAAGGATAGTGGAGTACTGTGCCGTCTTTGGGGTCTTGCGCTGAATGTGGTCGGCATGAGCACACCGTTTGGGAAAGCCGAAGAAACCGCCATGAAAACTGTGCCTGATGTCTCATTACTCGACCACGCAAGAACATCGAACAATCTACATGTATTTCGGCGTCTGTGAATCAGAGCACGTTTGCCAGTATCTCAGAGTACCTAATCACCTTCCCATCAAAAGCCATCCTTCCACATTGCATTCACAATCACAGCACCTAAAACGTAAAACATGGCTCAAGACCAATTCTTCTATACGAATGCTAACTCATTGACCCAAAGAGGCTTTCCATCAACGTTGCCTCCTTCTCTTCTCATACGCCTCATCGAGGATGCTTTTAGCTTGAATCTACCAATCATCCTGCTTCCGTCCATGCATAGCAGCCTGACGCTGTCTAAGCGCCTCTGCTAATCCACCAGCGATACTACCACTGCTGTCCCGCGCGCTCTCCATTGTGCTACCCCCACTACCACTGTACCCACTATCCCGTCCAGAGTCACCGTTGACGGCTTTCCTGGCGGCAGGACGTTTGGCAGGTGGAGCCGGAGGCTTGGGCTTGCTGTTTGCAGGGCGAGCGGGTGGCGCTGGGGGTGGAGCAGGTGCTGCTGAACGTACTTCCTCAAGGTATGCAGACGGCGCCCAGCCGGAGGCGGATTTGTCAAGACGGGATGCTAGCCACCAACCTGTTGAAGCTTCGTTAGTATGTCGCATTAGTGGAAGATCAGGATGAACGTACCATTACCCTCCTTCTGTGTGACCAGGATGATCTCATCCTTCCCTAGACTCAACTCTCCAGCGCTCTGTCCTGCAAAGTCATATAGCGCCTTGTATCGAGGTTCCTTCGGCTGAGCTGGCGCTGGCGGCGGTGGGGGTGGAGGAGGAGGTGTGCGTGATGAGCCGGCTGACGCGGTACGCGCATGAGAGCCCGCACCGTTCGACAAGGCAGCGACGGGCGCCGGAACAGGTCTGGCTTGCGACACTTCTGGCTGAGGGACAGGTCTCGGTTGCGGGGCGGCAGGCGTGGGTACAGCTCTTGGTTGTGCTGGACGAGAGGCGAGCTTCGAGGGACCTCCGCCAGGACCACCGGGCCGCAACAGCTTACCCTTTGTGATGGGCTTTGCGGCGATCTGCTTGCCTTTGGGCGTGGGCTTGGAAACGGAGTTGGGTGGCTCTCCTGGCCCAACGTGGATGGTGCCACTCTTGTACTGGTCATCTCTCGGTACGGCGGGATCTTTGACGACCTTGACCTGAGCTGGCTTGCCAGGCTTCTTGTTGTATTGGATGCTAGGGTGTGTTAGCCATTTTCGGATGCATGCCGACTGTGGAACTTACGTCTCGCCTATTTGGAGTGTCATTGCGCCTCGCAGCACGTTGTGCAGCTGAGTGAAGAACTCAGTCTTGAATACGCAGTTCACTAGTGGATCAGGCTCTGTTGGTGACCCAGCGCCGATCGAGAACCAGTCGTCTTTGAGTGTTGAACAGCTGACCATCTTGATGGCGCCAACGGGTATTACCCTCTCAGGCAAAATCTGGATTTGCCCTTTGACCGAGGCAACCTTGACCAGGTAAACGTTCTTCTTTGTCAGAATGAGCGTGCGAGCTTCTGGTTTACTTGATCGACCGAGCTTCGATACAAGCACTTCCGCCCTGCACGAGAATGGCACCTCTTCGTTCGGAGCTATGCCGACCGCTTGGGCCATGACCTCACCAGTGCCACCTTTGTTTCCGATACCAAGGTAGTCGCCCATGAATCTTCGGGAACCGATCAAACTGTATCTTCTGCGTTCTTTCCGTCCTCCGAGTATCTTGTGACCTTGGTCGCGCCATTCGATGAATTCCTTGCCGCCATTAAGCTTCCGCCAGAACCGCTGGATGCGCGTCGCGCACTCCGCTCGATATCGTAGATAGTTTCTCCATGCGCGCTGAATGCGAATAGCCATGTTGTGCCAGTACTTGTCTCGCATAGTCTCCAAGGCGAACAGTGTCTCGGGTGTCTTGATGAAGACCTTCGTTGTACCGATTTGGAACTCCTCCGCTGGAATGTTGGTATCCTTCAAGATCTGTTTAGCACCCGTCTCGTAGTCCCCGGTCCAAGTGTACTCTCCGGCATATGAGCACTTTGGTGACAGCAAGAAGAACCGTTCCACGAACTTATCGAAGGTCTGACGGGACGCAAACCCGGCTCTCCGAATGCGCACGTTTTCTTGCAGACCCAGGTACTTGACCTGATGTAGTACGTTCGCATCGGTGAATTCCTTGGGCGATTTGTTCTCGTTGGGCTTGATGGTACGGATGTAGGACGGACGAGCTTGCATCAAAGTCGTCACCAGGTCGTTCGCAGAGGCTTTGATCTTATCTCCAGCCGTCGGGGGTCGCCGCCTGTTGTCCTGGTCCACCTGGTGGGGGAAGAGAGTATGCACAAAGGTGTTGCTGCTCTGACCAAGCAGGTTTAGCAAGTCTTTCAACAACTGATCCTTGTTCTTGTCGGTCATGCCATCGATCGCGTACGAGACCTCACCAGCATAGTGCTTGATGACGAACTGACCCTGGCGAGGCGTGAAGTTGGGGTTCGACGAGAGAGCGTTAAGTCTCTGGACGAATGTTTGATCCGCGGCGGTAGGATCGGCGTGGGCTGTCGCACAAGCGTCGTTCAGGGCTGCGAAAACACCCGGTGGCCGCTTCTCCTCAATCAGGTCGCATACAATCTTGTTGTCGAAGTACTTGATGGGAGTCCACTTGATCTGCTCGCGCTCGTACTCTTCTTGTTCCGCCTTGAGCGTCAACTGGATAAAGATTTGCTGGAGCTTCTCGTTGACGTAGTTGATGCACAACTGCTCAAAGCTGTTCTTTTCGAAGATCTCGAAGCCGTAGATATCCAGGATACCAATCGACTGGGCGGTCGCACCTCGGGCCTTCAAAGAGACGTTGACGCGCTCCACAATCCAGTCAAAGAGATTGAAGTAGATTCCCTTGGAGAGTGCGTCGCGCACTGCATTTGCTTGCGCGCAGTTCAGAGGCACGTCGTATACGGAACCTCGTCGCCCACCTCGACTTGTCTCCATAACACGAATGGTAAGGGCTTTGTTGACATGCGACGCATCAACTTCGAGGAGATAGGCTACGAAATCTACTACCGACTGGTCGACAATAGCTGCGTTGCCTGAGTCATCCTCGCGGAACGACACATTTCCTAGCCACAAAATTGCTGCAAGCATCCGGAATATGTTGTCCTGCTCCGCTTGTTGTAATCCAATAACCTTCATGGCGTTCAGCGTGTCGTCGAACTCGGCGTGGTCGTCGATTCCCGGGACGTCGAAACATTTCGATTTGCTCGTGTAGAGGTAGGCTTGCGGTTGTTGTAACCCAAAGATTTCTGTGCATGTCAGCGCGAGTCTAATGTCTAGTCAAACTGGGCGTACCTCTGTATTGTGAGGATGCGGCTTTTGTGAACTGGTAGAAGATATGGAAGTTGCGCTCGTTCACAATCTGACCCGTCACTCGGGTCTTCTCGAGCAGGTAGTTGTTGATGTTTGCTCCCACTGGCTCTCCTTGCGCGTTGAAGTGGATCTCGAGATACTTTCCGAACCGCGACGAGTTGTTGTTCCTCAGCGTCTTCGCGTTTCCGAAGGACTCGAGCAGCGGGTTGGTGGCCAGCACCATGTCCTTGATCTCCTGGATAGATGAATTGCTACCTCCCGAGACATTGGCGATGTACTGCATAAGTCGCTTCGCGGCTTCTGTCTTTCCCGCTCCTGATTCGCCGGAGATGATGACACATTGGTTCTCCTTGTATGCGTTCATGTTGTAGTAGGCGGACTCGGCGATTGCGAAGACGTGAGGGGGTACCTATGCCTCGTTAGCCCTGGGAGTTGGTGGACAGCTATGCACCGCACCTCCAGCCTGTTCTTGCCCTTGTAACTCTCCAGCACTTGGTCGGTGTAGATGCCCACTGCCACTTGTCAGCATCCCCCTCTGAGGCGCATGTCCTGTCACCTACAGTCGCGGAACGGGTTGACCGAGACCAGCACGTGGCCGATGTATGTCTGCGCCCATAGTCAGTCGCTGTCCTAGTCTATGGCTGCGTGGGTGTGCGACGCGGGGCTGGCGCAAGCGGGTCGACGCACGTATATCTCGCCATTTTCGAATCGCTTCTTCAGGTTCTCGTTGATGGCCTCATTCGAAACCTTGCTGATCAAGGTGAGATCCGATACACCGACTTCCTTCTTCTTGGTGGTCTCGAAGACGGCCTTGGTAGCGAACTGGGCCTTGGGCTGAGCGCCGCCTCCGGCCTTGCGCGCGGCGCGGTTGGTTTTCCCCTACATATCACTGTATCAGCCTGTGTTCCTCCCCCGAAGTCTCTCTGCATCCTACCATGATTGGTGCCCGACGTCGAGCTGGGACCTGTAGCTTGAGCCGGCCAGTGGGGTAGGACGTGTGCTGCGGATTTCAGGGAGCAGCGATATGGTAATAATGGACGGCAAAGCCAGGTAGAGCCAGTATGGGGGGAGCAGTCGCTCGGGGGTGTGGGCGTGTAAAGATGGCTGCAATGCGGCGGTTGTAGAGACCGGCCAACGTCAGAGCCCTGGATGGAATCGGGCGCTTCGGAGGGTACTCGCCCCATCGTCCCAGCACAGCCACAGCTATTCAAGTACGACGTACGCGCAAGCTGCCGCCGCGGCTGGAATTTCCTCGTCATCCCTATTCACCTCCATTTTCTGTCGGGCTACACACTCCAGACTGTCATGCATTGTAGCCATGTCACTTGCTAAAGCATCTGCTCTCATACTACTTCATCATTCACCGTCGCCGCTGCGAACCCATCCAGGCTCGGCCCAGTTTCCGCATCAAAGTGTCGCAGCAAACGCCTCACACAAGGACGACCCGGGTGTGCCGCGTACGCATAATTTCTCGTGACGTGTCACAAACTTAGGCATTAGGCACCAACGTCTTGAGGGTCGTGACCGGATGCTCATTCAAACTAATCGCTAGGAGAAAACGCCAGCAACATGCAAACCGTCGTGAATGAGCGTTCGAACAACAGCACTGCTCAATAGCAGAGACGACGCCGTGGAAATGCCCAAAACCCTAATAAAAATATCCCATATCCCAAAAAAACGCCATCGCTCCAAGGTCGTCATTCAGTCATCATGAGAAAACATCACCGCCAAAACGCCCAACGCTCGCCCAGTCCAGCCGCTTGGACTCTTCTAGTTGCGGACCGCCCCAGGAATATACCTTGGGGTCTACGAGGCAGCCCAGACCGCCTTCTTGACACCATTCCGACACGACAGCATAGATGAATTCGATCTTCGCGCGGAGGAGGTTGCCCTCTGTGAGCTCTTTGTAACTGTCTTCCTTGTCGGCTGAGCCGTAGAGAAGCTGTTGCAATGAACCGCGAAGATGTGCTCTGGCCTTTACGTGCTTCCACGGCACGTTTCCTGTTTCTTCGAGAAGAGATGTCGCATCCAGAGGAAGGCATAAAAAGTGCCCGTAGCTTGCATCTGACGACAAGACGAGTTTGGTGTGGTCGGGGAAGTTGAACTAAACATACTGTTAGACGGGCTTTGTGAAAATCGGCAAAAGCGCTTACTTGGAAGGAGCCGTCGTCGAAACCCCAGATCCCGACGTTACCAAGGCGTTGGTAGAAGCGAACAAAATTCACGCGGGGATCTTTTCTGAGCGGCTTTTCTTCGTCGCCAAAGGTTGCGCACATGTACTTTCCGAACTTGTGCCACACTGTCCGGATCTCCTCAATGCGTCGCGATTCGAGCACTTCAATCTCCGACAATCCCCGATCTTTCTTCACGGTCGTGTAGTAGTTGAGCGCAACGCTTTTGGCAAGCTCTCGGTTGCCTCCAGCCTTCCGTAGGTGATTGTATCCGTCCGTGGCAAAAGCGATCGTAACGGGGTATTGATCCTCTGCAGAGAGGAGGGTCCCGATACTACCATCGTTGAGGACGTACCCCACTCCGTATCTGCGGCTGTAATCTACCCATTTTGCGACAAACGGTAATTGCGGTGGCTGATCTCTTCTTGACTTTGTAGGCTTCTTGTCGAGGGCTCGTTCAAGGTTATCGCGGAATGTCATCAAGCGCGCCAACACGGTCACTGGGTCAGTCGCAGGCATGTCATTGCTGACGGTCCGATAGCGGGGAGCACTTCGCGCTGAAGTTGGTTGCGGCGCAGGTTCCGATTTCGCGCTCTCTCGAGCGCTGGTCCGGGAGACTCTTAGAGGTGGAAGGTCAGGGAGTCCGTTTGATGTTGTCTTTGGCGCTTCCTTTGCGGTTTCCTTCGCTGTTCGTGCGCGCGTCGAAGTTCGTGCCTCACGAGGGACGCGTAGTGGCGCAGGTGCGGAAGCCGTGCTCGCAGTAACACGTCCAGTGTTCGAGATCTTGCGGGCTGCTCGTAACCGCGTCGGCTGTTTGTCAAGAATCCTGTGCGCGGGCTCTGGCTCTTCGGCTGGCTCAACGTTCTCCTTCAATGTCTGCATCGGCTGTGGTTCTCTCCTTGGGGCTCTGGATGCACGAGTCTTTGTCCGCTCGTTCCCGGTAGTTTCTGACAGGGCTTGGCTTTCAGATGACGATTCCTTCTCTTCCGATATTTCGCTGAGCCCTCCCGGGGCTTGATGAGGCCACTGCGTGCGGGCAGGGAAAGGTACGTAGACGACATCTTTAGAGAACGGGATGTTTGGTTGCTTGCCGGCTTCAATCTCCTTTTGACAATCTCTTGCCACTGTCTTGTTGGTTCTGCGACCGAAGGTTCCAAATGCCTTTCCTTGTTCGTATTCGCCGACCGATGAGGACTTGCAAAGTGCCCACCATTCCTCAGTGTATCCACGCCTGATCGTGGATGCTGTTGGTGGGCGGTTCTTCGGCCACTTCGGCACTCGCGAGGTACATTCACTGCTCAGCTCCAATGGGATATAGCCCAGTTTGAAGAAAGGATGCGCAACGATCTGGTCGGGGGTCGGTCGCTCGTCTTCGTGCACCAACAGTAGCGAGACGATGTCGCGGAGGTCGTCGGTGATCTCGTTGGCAAACTTGGCGAGGTCGGGCCAGGTGTATTCGCGAGCCTTCAGCTTCCGGTAGATGTCTTCGCGCTTGGCGGCGTGAAATGGTGCCCTTCCGACTGCGAGTGTGTACATCATGATTCCGATAGCCCACAGGTCGACCTTCTCGTCATGACCCTTTCCTGTCTTCTCCAAGACCTCTGGTGCAAGGTAGTTTGGTGTACCACACATGGTTGTTCGACGGATCGCCCCATAGTCGCTCTGTGACACCAGTAGTGCAGCAAGACCGAAGTCGCCAACCTTGACATTCATATCGCGGTCGAGGAAGAGGTTGCCTGTCTTGAGATCGCGGTGTACGATGTTCCGTTGGTGGAGGTATTTGATTGCGCCGCACGTCTGGATCATGAACCGCCGGATCTCGGGCATGGTGAAGTATTTGCGCTTCTTGATCGCATCGGCAAGAGAACCGTTTTCGCATAGCTCCAGGACAACGTAGGTGCTTGATTCGAAAGAAAAGGCGCGGAAGAACTCGACGATGTTGGGATGAGACAGCTTCGAGTGGATCTGTAGTTCCGTGACAAACTGCGGCGCGTCAGCAAATAGCCATGCCTTCCTCCCAAGCTTCCAGTACCTTTTGCGCCAGTTTGGGGGGCTCCATTTTGGATTTAACAATCTTCAAAGCGACGGTCGAGCTGCCGAGGTGTTCGTGGCCGAGCAGCTTTGCGCGGTGGCAGATCGCGAAGCCGCCTTTGCCCAGCTGCGATCCCGTTTCATATTGGAGTCCCTCGGGGTCCTGCACCACGGCCGGCGGGGCATCTGCGTGTATCGACGAGGCAGACATTGGCGTGGAGGTAGATGGAGAGAGATGATGAAATCGGGGACGAAGTCGCAGAGTGTTGATGGCATGTAAACAAGGGCCCGTTAGCGTCGTTGCTAGGGCTGTCGGCCAATCGGTGCCCGGCACAGTCCGCTCGATGCACCGCGACTTGCACAAGCGTGCACTGGAGATCGTGCTTCACGATCCAGTACGAGTTCGACTTAGTCGTGTGAGCTGGCCATGCGTCTCGTCACGTCTCCCGCGTTGTCACGGAGCTGCTGGGCCCGCAGTCAATCGCCATCGCCGTCGGTGGATCTCCGGCAGCGCAAGGCAGCATCGATTTGAACATCGAACCTGCAGCCATGCGCACCACCACGAATAATCCTACACAACATTGCTATACAGCTGTTCCGATGCGTCTATCTGTATGAAGCTTGCCATGCACAGCCGTCCGCCGGTCAATTGTCTCCATACCTCCCCGCGACCATCCGAAACGCTCTCGTAACCAAACATGTCTCTCACGCTCAAGGTCACATCACTGTTCGTCAGAACGCTTGCGAAGCCCGTAGCAGTATGTTGCTCAGCCCCGGGAATCGTGGATCGTAATTGACACATCCCAGAATGCCATCAAACGCAATGCCCACGAACACGATCGCTTTCGCCGGATATGCGTCAAATTTGCCCAAGGTTTGCATCGCGTCGATATGCGCATGCGCCTCGGCCTCCTCCAGGACCCGGCTGTTATCGACAGGCAGATTAAGAAGGAAGTCCAATTAGCAGAGGCTGCGCGGAAAAAAGCAGCCGCCCCAACCGTCCTTACCGAAGAGGAAATGAAGGCGGAAGAGGCGCTCACGGAGAAGGAACGAGAAGCTATCAAGAAGAAGACTGAAGAGAGAATCAAGCCCCGTATCCGACCTCTATCCGAACAAAAAGCCATCGAGATGGGCGCCAACTTCGCTGCCGAGACGTTTATATTCGCTGTTGGAATCGCTGTAATTCTTGTTGAGCAATGGCGACAAAGAAGGAAGGCACGCAATGCCAGAGACGACATAAGAGAAGATTTAGAAGAGGTGCAGGCTGAGCTCAAGGCAGTCAAGGCAGAATTTGAGGAGTTCAAGGCGAAGCACCCGGAGCCCGCATCCTCAAAGATACTCGGGTTCTTCACGGGCAGTGGGAAGAAGGAAGACAAAAAGCCTGAAGCCGTGAGCACCGAATCGAAGCCAGTATCTGTCGAGACTCAACGCGATGCCATCAAATCGACGAATGCTACATCCGCAATGCAAGAGCAGTCGTCAGCCGATAAGCCCTCACAACATAAGGATCTAGGGATGTACACCAGGGAAGCGTAGATGTGTATATCTTACGGGCATACATTCTCTAGGCTCGACTCATGGTTATACCAAGTCGAAAGCGCAATTTGGACACACTCCTCTCATATACCCAACACAACGATAGAAGCATGAAGTTTTCCATTCCCTACAGTGTCGCGATCCCAAAATCTTCTGTTTCTAGCTTCGTGTCCTGATTTGGCGTTCTGTCTACATCCGCTGATCGCTCTTTCCGTCGCGACCCACGTACCTTCTACAAGAAGAGGCCTAGTTCACAGACACTGACTAGCACCACCTGGGCACATACAAAGAATACGCTCAATTAGCATCTCAGAAACACACACTCTGTTATCCGGACACCAAATTTTCGCCAATTGTCCGAGACTCACAACTACCTAGTCTCAGCATGGGTCTTCCACACTACACCAACGACATTGAGCCTCGTCCCGATGAGAAAGAGCAGCCCATCATAGAAAGCGGAGAAATGCGCTCCATGAACGTTGTCGCCCCTGCTCAACTAGACGGTGGAGCGGACTACTATTCGCGAGCCCCCAACGACAAAACCATTCCCTCTCAGCAAGGTCACTACCCCCAACTCCCTCGCCAATCTCACAACGCGCCTTCCGTCCCGCCACCGCCGCCACGCCAACCATCCCGCACCGTTGGCAATGCAGTCAACGACCTGCTTCCTTACTGTACAACCGAGCCGCCTCTGAGCCAAGCGCAAGTCATCGCTCTAAGCGACGTTGTGGGTAGTCTAAAGGAACTCGTCGTACTGGCTCTAGGTGCTGCTTCTGGTGTGCCGAGGAGTATGGAGAAACTGGAAGGTGCGGTGGGTTCGCAGGCCGCAGTGAATATTGTGGAGTTCTTTGCCGACGAATGGGAGATCGAGGGCTGAGAAGATTCATGGGTGTTGGGTCAGAAGTGAGGGGACGGTTCGCTGCTGCATAGTGCATATGGGAGGTGATAAGGGGGCATGTGGATGTGATGACGAGAAACACAGGTAATCATGAAGAGGAAGTGAGGTGGTGATGGGAAATTGTATCATTCGCTACCAAGGAAGACAACTGCGCTCGCTACCAAACCATCCACCGCACCCATGAAGCACAAAAGACTTGCCCCTCCCGCCTCCTTGATGCTCTGCACCTCGATCGACGATCGAGAGGGAAGTCAAACGACAATATAGATCGGTGATGACAAGAGAACGATGCCTCTGTGGCGTCGACAGTCTGTTCTGAGGTCAAAGAAAAGAAAACAGGATAGCGGCGCCGACCGGTGATGACAAGAGGTCGATGTCTTCGTGACATCGACCAGTGTTCTGAGGTTACAAAAAACGTTCAAACAACACTGTCGACCAGTGATGACTAAGGAATCGATATCTTCGCGATGTCGAAACTCCGTTCTGAGGTCAGAGACACTGTTGTGCATGGAAGAGCTGAGAACGATCGTATTATCGTAATCTATGCCTTGCGACCTTCAAAAAGATCTGCCGTAGCAAATAAGTTAATGACTGAAGGGTACCGTCCCGGAAGAGAGCTCTCGACCGATCCGGAAAGCTCAGTGCAAGAGACGCGTCGGCTGATAGACCACCTACCTCGACTTTCTTTTGACTCTTTCAAGAACGAAGCGCATCGCTCTCAGAACTCAGAGGAGATGTTGAGAATCGAGATGTTTGAGCGAGTAGCCCTTCGTTTTCCTGTGGTAAGAGTAAGACCCCATGGTCCAAGAAGGGTGAAAAGCATAGACGCATGTATTGAGTAATATTATGTATTACTGTAACGACAAGGTATCATACATTAACCACTCCATCCTCCATAAACACAATCATCTAAGCGATGGTATCAAAGCAAGCGCATATCAACACTCCAACATCTCATAAATGGCCTCGGAAACAAGGACGCAACATTACTGCGACGGTGCCAGGCTATCTACGAGCCTCCAAAGCTAGTGATGTTAATCCCAATGTCAGCCAATGCCGGTCCGACATCGAGATTCAGGTTGATCGTATTGCTCTTGATCGCATCTTCGTAGTAGGTCAAGTGCTGACCATCCTTGATACTCGAGTTGCCCACAATCTCAAGCGGCAGCACAGCATCGTTGTACTTGTTCTGGATCAGGCCCAAGATAGCGAGCTGGTCGACGTGGCTTTGCAAAGGGAACACGTTGTCGCCGGGCTTAAGGTAAAGGTCTGGAATGAGTGCGTAGCCAATTGCGGTGCCGTCGACGGCTAGGTTCATGGTGATGTTGCCTAGGTCGAGGGTCATGACAGAGGGGTTGGGAATGCTGACGTTGGCAATGAGGTTGGAGCCATCGGAAAGGATCTCGTCTGTGCCAGAGAGAATGCGCACGTCGCTGATGTTGAGTCCGGAGAGTTTGTTTAGCCCTGCAAACACGATTAGACTAGTCCTTACTGTAGCTTCAGTGAGACGTACCCTTCATCGTAATGACTTTGTTGTAATCGACGTCCATGGTAGGCAGGCCAGAGAGGTGAATGTTGGTCTTGCCGTCAAGGTGAATTTGGAGTGTCTCGCTGTCAAGCACAGCCTTGGTATAACTGGAGAACTCGACATCACTCGCGAAAATGACATCTTGGTCGACGGTGACGCGGGTCTCTGCCTCAGACTTCGCTTCAGGTATGGTGATGTAGATGAAAGGGTCTTGTCCTGATAGCGATAGTCCTGCTTTGAAGCTATCAATCTTAGGGTGATAACTGCTGCCACTTCTGATGACTGTATCAATCTTCAGGTGGACACCGTTCTGCTGCGGGTTGGTAACTTCCTGGGCAGTAACTTCGAGTGTCGAGGAGTTGATCTCATGCTGTGCCTTATTTGGTATGCCAACAAATATGATTGGCAGAACGATGACCAACACTATGATCACGAGGACCAGGCAATCTGACGTAATGTAAACACGAAGTACGTTGAGGCTGTCGAGAGAGACCTACCACACCACCAAAACTTTCTGCAGTGGTTCTTCATACGCCCTTTGGCGCCTGGCGTGGGCCCTGGCGGGTAGAGCTTATTCATAACGCCGCCTTTCTTCTGGGGCGTTGTATACACATCGTCCGCCCGTGTCGCTCCGCCGTCTTTGCTCTCCATATTGACGGTCTTGTGTGAAGTGTAAAGAAGTTGTTGTGTACAGTTCGATCACTCTGTCGCCCACCGGTTGATGGCGATTCAGAGCGACTGTGGGTTCTTCAGGGGATAGACCCGCAGGGTGTCGCACGCGAATTAAGTAGAAATAAGAAAATACACCAAGACTTCCAAGGACGGTATGAACGCGGAGGTACGCGGGGAACGCACACCTTGTGGATGTCAAAAGCTGGGGAATGTGTAGGAGACTGGCACATGCGCGAAAACGACCGAGACCCCTCTTACGCCAAATACCAATTGGCTGTGCACCGATGGCAAGGCGAATGTCAAAAAGGGTACGATCAGTGACAGGCCTCTTAGCGATTTTCATGAAGATGACGGGTTGCCCGAGAAAGTAGCCTGTTGCGGATACGCTCCGAAGCACTCACCACCTATCCGGTCGCATTACGAAGCCGAGGCAGCGCAGGCAATTGAAGGATCAACTGGCACATGCGTGAGGGATGTCTGAAGAATGCGGCCACATTTTGTAACCTAGGGCGCCGAAGAGCCGTGAGTGGATAGGTCTGCATGAAGCTCCAAGCTGCTCGGCAATGTCCGTCTATCTGGATTGGCTCGTCCGACTACAACCAGAGGCGAAAAGGCGTTGACTCGAGTGACACGCGATCATATTGAACAGCCCGAGCAGTGCGAGGGATCGTTGTTGACCCCAGACGGTAGCGCGGGTCCTGCACCTTTTGAGGTTAGAGGTGGAGAAACCCCCTGAAGCGGCAACCAATGTAAGCCAATGCTTGTCGGTGGTCGATCTGAATTCGGGAGACGCGCCTCTTTGTTGCAGTGAGGAAATAATCTAAAGCCGTCTAAATCAGCAGGTGAGCAGAGGCTTATTGCCTCAGGTAAGAGAATCACCAGCCCCCTCATTCACATGAAGGCGAAAAGCCGAAATCATGGGCTCGAGCCGAAATCAACCCCAACACCCAGCAAGCGGCTGCATCTCTGCATCTTGATATACACACTAGGACAAAGCATACAAGCAGATGGATCCGTCGCACTGAAAGTCGTCTAAATCAACATCGAGCAGGGGTTGCCTTGGCATCCGAAACACCCGCTATCTGCGGTTCATGTGGTGTCCAATTCGATTTGTGTGGCACCCAGGGCCGGCCCAGCCCTTTTCCCCAAGGAACGTAGGTGGCGGAAGTCGTTGTTCGAGCCTCCCGGGTCTACGGTTGGAGACCAGATCGTTTGGAAGGCCCAATATGCACACAGGTCGTTTGGGAGGCCTAATATGCGCCCGCTTCAGCGAGCGCGATGCGTCACTATAGCGCTGATTGAGGGCCGATGGCATTTAGCAGGCTGGGCGAGGAGATGTGGTCGAAAGAAGACTCTGGGGGATCGCCTGCCCTGACATATGCCAAGGGAACGCTACGAAGGTGGGTCGCTGCCGCTGCGGGCGGTCCTGCGAGTTGAGGCGCCCGAGTCGACAACACAAATTTTTAGAGCATTCACAATTCACTAGCACAAGATGGCGCAATCAGACGAGGAGGATGATTACATGAATATGGTGTTTGAGGATGCGCCAAAGGGCCCAAAGTATGAGACTTCCCTCCAGCGCGCCGCGCGCAAGCGCAAAGAGGTGCGTTGAGTGGAATTGCGGAATTGTGCCAGACTGACACATGGACAGGGCGAAGCCAAAGCGCGACAGAAGACCAAAGCCGAACGAGAAGAAGAGGCCGAAGCTGCACGAGAAGCTGCCCTCGCCACTGCTCTGCCCGAGACCAACAAGGGATTCAAGATGATGGCCAAATTCGGATTCAAGCAGGGCGATGCTCTCGGCAAATCTGAAGACGCGCGCAAAGAGCCGATACGAGTCAACCCCAAAGACGACAGAGGAGGCATTGGTCTTGAGTCGGAAAAGAAGCGCAAGTTCAGAGAACAGTTCGAGGAAGCAGATCGACTGGCAAAGCGCGCAAAGGAAGAAGAGGGTGATTACCTAGAGATAATGCGCCAAGAACAGAAAGAGAAGAAGGCCGAACGAGATTTGGACAGCGCGCAGAGGACAGCCGAGCGCTTGTCTGACAAGAAGGCCGAAGAAAAAGGCGTGCCAGACACGAGCGAGAAACCACTGAAGGACATCAACGTCCTTTGGCGTGTTCGTGCACGGCGCAGGGTCGAGAAGAACCGCGACAAGCAGCAACGACGAGAACTGAATAATAGCATTTCGTCGCGATTACCCACGCTAGCCCCGGAAGACGATGACGACGATTCGAAGATAGCACAAGGCCGAGATCTTGCGCCGTTCTATACTACACTTGAAAACGAGCTTGAGGATGAAGATCCAGAGCTGGCGGAATTCGAGGCCTTGCCTGTGGCAGAGCGGTTACAGAAGCTTCTGGTATTCCTTCGCGAAGAGTACCACTACTGTCTGTACTGCGGATACGAATACCCTGATGCCGAAATGGAAGGATGTCCAGGAGTGACTGAGGAGGACCACGATTGAGAGACCTAAATCTTCACTACATGAAGATGTCTCGATACCGCAAGCTACGAGCACGAATTCTGCTACGCTCTTAGCCTACAATAGGTGAGATCACGGCTGGACATATGAGACCGGCGTAATGCTCGGCTCGTACCCCATTGTCTGGCTTTGCAGCTTTAGGTCGCGGTCACAACATGGCAACGGTCTCGAAAAGTCATAGTCGCTGGTGAGAATCTAGTGAATCAAGGAGTCCAGTTCTTTCTGGCTGATGTGTATCCATAACCATTTGAAGGTAAGGTAGCTTCAAAGTACTTTCTACACTCCCAATAGCTATCGATTATCAATAAGATGGACAAGAGGAACGCGCAAGGTGAAAATCGTACAATACATCCGTAGGCAAACCAGTGCAGATAAACTGCAATTGAACATATTTCTCGGATGTCATAACTCTGTCACTCCTACCACAGTACAGTCCACTACACATGCTGGTATTCGACGTTGTCCCTGAAACAGCCTCGTGAGCTTTGACCAAATCACCAAGTCCCGTGCTCACGCGCTTCGCGATTCGTCGCGCCTGCCCCTAGCCCTTGCCCATCAACAACATCAGACAAGTAGACAAGCCACCCCGCCTGCAACAATTGAAGATGGAGCATCAGAAAAGCTACATATATGAACCACCTTCGACAGAAGAGCGGGCGCCAAAGCGACAAAGGACCGGCAAATTCGACCCGCAGGCGCAACTACCAGAACGGCTAGCCAGGTATCGGGAGTTGTGGGCACAGCAAGACGAGCGCATTCAAGTGAGTGATCCGAATAGTGACAGGCGTTGAATGGCTGCTAATATGAGCAGAGTACTTTGGAAGGGGCAGATAGCGCCACCCAGGAAAAGATCGTCAACTTCATCTCCGCTTCCAGCGCATCGCCAGATGAGCCCAAGTTTGCCATACCAACAGCGCTCATCGTTGCCGGTCCTAGCATTGCATCCCATGGCCCTTTCTTCGAGCGTCTGGGTAGGGGCATCAGAGCTGAAAACTGCGCATATGTTGTACTAACATCCAGCGAATGCCCAAATCTGAAGACACTGCTGAAAACCCTCATTAAGAAGGTTACCTCGCGCGTGGACGATGAGGATGAGGATGATGTAGACCGCCCGGCTACGTCCTCGAGGCATGGTCCAAAGTTACTCAATTACGATCTTGGCCATGTTCAGGAATGGCAAAAGAAGAATCGCGCTTCTAGCATCGTTGTCGCTTTGCAGGACAGCGAGGCTTTCGACGTTGGACTACTCGTCGATGTAGTTGATCTTCTTCAGTACGTCAGACTATGTATAGCAATTACATACGCTAACGTTAACAGCTCATGGCTCGATCGTCTACCTTTCGTTCTACTCTTTGGCATTGCTACTTCTGCAGAGAGCTTCGAGGAGCGAATGGCAGGCAACTCACTCCGCTACCTTGAAGGCCAGAAGTTCGACGTTACTCAATCTGACGAGATCATTGAGAAGCTGTTTCGCGCGACGGTTGCCAGCACAGATTCTCGACTTCACATTGGACCCAACCTCTGTCGCCGTATGTTGGATCGGCAAAAGGATCACGTTCAAAACACACAAGATTTCTGTGATGGGCTGAAGTACGCTTACATGTCGCACTTTTATGCTAGCGTACCCAGCGTCTTCTTCGCGCATGATGTTACACACGGAGATCTATCAGCGGATGCGTTCGAAGCTGTTCGCACTCTGCCATCGTTTCGCCAGTGGGTTGAGCGCATGCTAGAAGCTGGTCAGGCACAAGATGTACGAAGAGTACTGGAAGATAACAAGTACCTGTTCGACCAGATTGCACATCATCTGCAATCTGGCCAACGCGCCATGTTATCATTGAGCCATGCTGCGGAAGTACTGGCGAACATCCGCGAGTCGCTTCAGATGTCACCCAGCGTCCGACTTTCATCTATCTGGACCCGAGCAGCAGCTGGCGAGCTAGCTGGATCGCCCCTCATCCGCGAAACGATGTTATCCATCAAGAAGATTCCATCCGATAGACTGGTACATTTCCTAGCATCGCTACGAGATCTTGAAGACGACAACGTCTCATTGGGCATTGCTTCAGCTCAGCAGACGCTCGACAACCTGCTACAAAACGCCGATGCACCGCTCCGCACGCAGCACGATGTCCGCAACGACAGTGTACGAACCACCGTCGTAGCACAAAAGGTACTTCTGAGCAAGCACAAGGCTGCACTGTCAGAGCAAGACAAGGCATACTCAGACCTGGTCACAGAATTTCACGACAAGCTCGAGGTGTATTTCACCTCCTCCTTCATCGACCCGAAGACGTTGACTCTGAATGAGCTCTTCATATACGACCTAAAGTCACCACACACAGAGGTCTTCCAACCCAAGCCGCGCTTTGCTGTTGAGCGTGCACTAGCTTCACCTCACGACTATCTGGGCTGCGAATGCTGTAGTGGAGTGGATGGAAACCCTGCAGCTCTTTCTGCCACACAACCAGCGACAGCTATTGTGTATCAGATGTACCTCGAGTCTGGAACGTTGATCAACGTTACCGATCTATGGTCTGCGTTCAACGCCATTGCGGGAGACGGAACAGAAGAGAACGAGCCCAACACCATGTAAGTCTGCACCTGCATATCACAGTCATGGTATACTAATCCGTCACAGGGCACTATTCCAGCGAGCACTAGCCGAACTGCGATACCTGGGCCTCGTCAAACCCAGTCGAAAGAAGACAGACCACATTTCCAAGATCATGTGGAAAGGACTATAAACCCTTTCACCTTCTCCATTGCAGCCGCCCTACATAGAATACATATCATACACCCCATTTCCATCCCAATTAAGCCTTCTTCGGCTGCGGCGCAGTATCACAAACCGTCCCACAACTCTTACACGTCCTCTTCTCCGTATCCGCCTTGAAAGCATTCACTGCATCCTTAATCTGCGTGCCCAAATCCGTACAATAAAACGCCGCCTCATACACCTTATCCCCACAGTTCTGACAATACCACCTCAGGCGATCCAAACTGCCCTCCGGCCTCTTCTGCTCCAACACCACACCCACGGTATCTTTGAAGCGCACAGGGTTATGCGGTGTGTTTGGGGGGAGTAAGAACATGTCGCCTTCGTTGATGTGTATGTCTTTGAATTGCTGGCCTGGTGGGAGGGTCGTGTCGACGACTTTGAGCAGCATGCCGCCTTTGTGTTGGTAGAACCATTCTGCGGTTTCGTTGATGTGGTAGTCGGTTCGTTCGTTGGGGCCGCCGACTATCATTACGGTTACGGCGTCGTTGTAGACGCAGTAGTTGTTTATCGGCGGTTTGAGCATGTGCGCGTTCTCCGAAACCCTGCGTGCGAGGTTTGTTAGTTGGGTTTGTTTGAGGCAGGACGGGATGGGAGCAGCTGAGAGGAGCTGGGGTGGTATATGTATGTATCTTACCATTTTGGTATATTCAATGGCGGACCTAGTTGTCGGTGCGGTTGCGATTCTGAGAAGTGGCGATGTGGGAGTGTTACGGAAGCTCGCGGTGTTGATCGCGAGGCGCGTTGCGCGAGCCGGATGGCTGGCCGTAATGATCGCGTCGTATTCATCCTGGATTGATGTGTATGTCAAAAGAGAACCTCGTTCCTCAAGTCAGCGCGACGAGTTTGCTTAGTCTGCTTTGAAATGTAAAGTCGACGATGTAATCATCAAGGGTCCAGCACAAGTGGGGAGCTTCTCGCCCCGCGGAACCGCGGCTCGTGCGTGCATTTGTCGATCACTGGTGCGACGCGTGCCATCACATGCAGCTTCTCGACCCGCCTATCTCGAGACACGAGCATAGCTTCCCCATCCCCTCCACAGCATCCAACAACAACCACTCCAACCGATCTCGGAACTAAAATACAACATGGGCATGGATCACTCGCACATGGACCACGGCCACATGGGCCACGACATGCCCGGCATGGGCGGCGACGGACCCAAGTGCAACATGAACGTATGGCCATCTACGTCTCAGTATCGGACGACACGCTGACATGTCGCTCGAATAGATGCTGTTCACCTGGGACACAACCGATCTCTGCATCGTCTTCCCCTCATGGCACATCTCCGGCACGACCTCGCTCGTCTTCTCGCTCCTCGCCGTCGTCCTCATGACCGCCGGCTACGAAGCCATCCGCGAGATATCGCGACGATACGAAGCCTACTCCAAGGGCGTCATGGAGGGACCTAGAGGTGAGTTTGCCTCTTCCATACACATACACACATACAACCGGAGTAGTAGTAGCAAGTACGACTACGAGAAGAGGCAAGGTCGTAGAAGTAGGAGACTAGGGAGGTCTCTTTTCTTCTATCTTCAATCAACCACACTTCTTGGGAAACACTCGCTGAGTTTAACCTTTTCGTCGCCGTGTATAGACGACGCCACAGATGAATCTAGCTCATTACTTGGATCAGGGAGAAACGGTGGTTTGGGGCGCAGTGCCGAGCAGCAGATGAAGATTATCAAGGCTGTTTTGTATGCTGTGCAGGTGTTTTACTCGTTCTTCATCATGTAAGTTCATCCTGGTGGGACTGGTTTTGGAGATTGGGGCTGATGTGTGTAGGCTGCTTTTCATGACGTACAACGGTTGGGTTATGCTTGCTGTGGCTGTGGGTGCTTTCGTTGGATACTTGATGTTCAGCCAGTCTTCGTCGACAAAGTCGGTGGCCTGCCATTGAGTAGTCTACAAAGGAGAACCAGTGGGGGGAATGAATAACAAGATGGGTCGAGGCATGCGGACGGTCTACTCTCCATCAAACAAGGCGCAGATTCACATATCCTGCGATTTCCGGGCCTAGAACCCTACGTCACACCGTCACTTTGCAAACTAGACCAAAATCCAGACTTGAAGTTGACCAATAATATTTCTACAACATGTGACGAACGACCAGAGATACACCCCTCACCCTCTCCACACCAAGAACACATACCACACGCCCCCCAGCACAACCACCGTCCTCAAACTCGTCCTGAGTTCCCACCAAAACAGACTGAGCCCCTTTCTCCGTTTCCGCGGCTTTTTGTCCGCTTTGGTACTACCACCGTAGACTCTAACCTTTTTGTCTCCTGCATCGTCATCGTCAAAGTCTTTGGTCGGATCATAGCCGGCATGTTGTATCAATGGGAGTTGATATTTCGAGTGCTGCTGTTGCTGTTGGGTTCGTGCTTGAGTAGTCGCTCGAGCAGATAGATTGCCGTTTCGCTCCGAACTAGTCGATGAGTTGGATGAATGCGATTCCTTCTCCATAGCAGCTGGGACGTTCGTCGTAGGTAACAGCGGACTTTCCGCCTTTTCGTCCTCGCCATTCGAGACAACGCCTAGCATAACGCCCGCCGCGCGAACGAACAGCAGCAACAGCGTTAGTCCGAACAGACTTCCGTATCTCAGAAACGTGCCAATCTGATCAGGCAGCAGACACAACTTCGTCTGAATCGTCTTACTCGCATCCCCCCCATTCAACGGCTTCCCAAGCGTGTCAACCGGATTCCACAGACTAACCAGCACAACACCTGGCAGTCTAACGCCCATAGCCCAACTAATGCTCTTGACCGTGATCTCGCGTATGCCGCCGCCAGCACTGGTATACGCTTTATGCACCAACTCGCAGTAATCATGGTCGTCGCCCGAAAAGGCATATCGAATATCGCCTACCTTCTCAGCAATATCAGCGGTGATCTCGCGATTGAGCACATTTTGGTATTGATAGCCACCACGGACGGAGATGGCGTTTCGGTCGTCGTGGTCGAGGGGAGGTTGGCCGGGTGGGGGAGGCGTCGGGGGCCAGTGTTCGCGAAGGGGGCCGCAGGGTGTGCCTGGGGCGCGGTAGAGGGGCACGTGGGTGAGGAGGATGGTGGGAAATTCGGTGATGTCGTCGTTGGCGTGGGGGAGGGCGGAGGTGGCTAGGTCTTGCGCGGAGATTGCGTGGTGTGGCATGCCTGGGTAGGGTCGCAGGCCTTGTTGCGCTCGTAGTTCGCGTTGGATGAGGCGCTTTTTGCGCTTCTTTGCGTCGGAGAGGAAGTCTTTTGTAGGGCGCCATATCTTCTCGACTTGTTCGGGGGACTCCTGGCCGAACGCGCTCAGGGAGACGCTGTCGATTGAGACGAAAGTGTGGTTTGCGATGACGTCGATTCTGTTGCCGTCGCCAAAGTAGGCTTCAAATCTGTTTCGGACGCCTTCTTGTACTCCTTTGGCAAATCCCAGGTCATGATTACCAGGTAGACTGCTTATGAGCTTCCGTCCGGGCTGTCCTGGTCTCGCCTGCATGCCGCCATCACCCCAGTGTTTGAAGAAGATGTTTCCGAATCTTCTGTATTCGTTCATCCAGAAGTCTTCGCCATACTTGCGGTACTGTTCCTCAGGCGAGGTAGTTGTGCGCGTAGACCATTCGCGACCACCGTCGAAGAGATCGCCGAGGAAGAAAATAGTGTCAGGGTATAGGACGGTCTGGAAGCGAGAATAGGTGCGACGGAGGTACAGGTCGGTGTATTTGTAGGCTAGAGGATTGAGGGGCCACGGGCGGCCGGGGTAGGTGTGCGGATCTATGAGTTGCGGGTCGGCGACGAAGATGAGTCTGTGGGGGTTCGCGCCGGTTTCCTAAAGTTGCGATTAGTTTTGCACAGTCCCGTAGATTTTGTGAGGTATAGACGCACCCAGTCTTCCCATTTGTCCCAGTGGCAGCTCTCGACGGCGCTGTTAAAGATACCTCTCTCGCCCCAGTACAGAACCACCCACCACAGCAGCACCAGCCCATTCACGAGCGTAAAGAGCCGCTTAAAGCTCCAATTCCCACTTCGCAGCTCATTTCTCTTACCCTGCACAGCAGGTCGTATGCGATATAGAAAGAAGGCCCTGCCCAGCCGCCATGCCTGGTGTGTCAAGCTCTCGGGTTCTGAGTATGCGCCGACGGGAATGCCATACTCGTCGTATGTGGTCATTGTCTGTCAAAGGAATGAAGGAGTGGCTGGCGCAGCATTTTTGAGGAAGGATGCACGTGAGGAGAAACGTTACGCAGTCGTGAGCATGTCGCCTGCGTAATGCTCAAAGGGGGACTGGGTGCGGCGTGTTCATGGTCTGGGGAAAATGCGGCCCAGGGTCCGAGGCTGATCCAAGGCTGATCTGCCGCCGCTACCATGGCACGAGAGGCTCGACTCTCTGCAGTGTAACCCTGCTAACCAGGTGAATGCATAAATGGTACAAACATCACAGGAGTATGCCAACTGAACGTTCATCGGAAATATGCAAGTGATATCATTTCGAACATGCTAAAAGTACAAACAACATTTTCCCTCTTCAGTACTCAAGTGTCACCTCTTGACCCTTGACCCGACCGATGACGATCTCGGGGGCGTACTTGGGGATAACCTCATCGTCGTGAAGCATCTCAAATTCCTCTGACGCGTCCTTGCCCATATGGCTGAAGAGCGCCTGAGGACCTCCTGGGTGCTCATCTGTCCAGTTGGTGACGTCCATAACGATACCCTTTACAGCAATCCATAAATCATCCTTCTTGTTGTGCTTCGCAACCTCCTCGAGCGAGAACTCCTTGTCGGGAATGCTGAACTTCTTGGGTGCGTTAGGCTTGGAAACCTTTCCTGGGTCGTTGGAGTCGCCGTTTGACGACATGACAGGTGCGGAAGACAGCTGCTTTTGTTGCTCAACGGGGTCTGATGAAGAGCTGGCTTGAGCGTTTCCGCTGACACCGTTGCCCCACTCGACGGAGACCTTGCCCGGTTGCGATGGGTCGATGTGCAGCGAGATCTGACCGAGACGGTTGACAGCGGCACCACCGGACTTGTTAAGCGCTTGTTGGAAAAGGTACTTGGAAGCAGACTCTCCTGCTACACGACCGTAGACGACACAGCCAAGAAGTGATGAACCACCGAGACGGTTGGCACCGTGGACACCCCCAGCAAGCTCACCGCAGACGTACAGACCGTCGAATGGCTTGCCGTCAGAGTTCAAGCACTGTGCTTGGTCGTTGATCTCGATACCACCCATGGTGAAGTGGAGTACAGGCTCCATCTGTGCAACGTGGAAGGTGTCGTTGATGTCGAAGGGCAGGTTGTGGAAGTACTTCTTGTTCCACTCATCCTTCTTCTCGCCCTTGGCAATGGCGTTGTAGCTTTGGAACTCGGTCTGGAGGTCCTTGTCGCTGACACCAATCTCCTTGGCGAGCTCCGCACCGGTCATCTTCTTCATCAGGCCACGTCCGGAGTAATGTCTTGTGTGGAAGTCGAGGACGTTGGATGCCTTGGAGTTCAGGACAAGGCGAATGGGCCAGTTGCCCTTCTCCTTCTCAGTCCACATCATGCCGGAGACGTAGTCGCGGTGACCGAGGTCGTCGCAGAAGCGCTTGCCCTTGTTGTTGAGAAGGATACCACCCTCACCACGGAGAGCTAGAGACTGTTAGCATGA